TTCTTAAGCAAAAAAGTCCAAGCATTGTAACATTTCCTCCATGAACAATTAATGTTGCTTCTTTCAAATGTCCTTTTTTTCTAGTTCATAAATAACATGTTTAAATTACAATCAGAAATGCTTTGGAAACTTCAGCCTTTCAGAAGCCCTGACCTCCCAGGAGTCTCCAATCAATAGGGTTAATAATGCTGGCCACCAAAATGAGAGATGCTAGGTGGGAGATAGAGGTTCAGAGATTTTCTAATGCAATTCAGCAGCCTTGTTTAAAATGGCACCCCTGAGTTGGAATCCCATATCTACGAAGTGCCACATTGGAAAGTGGGAGGCATACAGTATTTCAACAGTGGGAATCTGGTAATCCCATCAGGATTCTGAAGTATCTCTCAGAGTAACAGATATTCCAGAGAAATTGATTATGTATTTGTTAGATTGTTATGCTTTTTCATTTTTATAAATAATAAATATTTATAAAAATTCATTTTTATAAATAAATAGCAGCGAACATACATAATACTCTTTCTTCCTCGCATTTTCTCCACAAAAAACAACCTTATGAGGTGGGTTGGGCTATGAGAGAGTGACTGACTCAAAGTCACCCAACTGGCTTTCACGCCTAAGGCAGGACCAGAATTTACAATCTCCTAGTTTCTAGGCCAATACCTTAACTGCTAGACCAAACTGACTTTATATTTTTATATATTATATTTGAAGGTCCCAACTAAGCCTTTTTTTTTTATTTTTATTTTGCATTTTAGCATTTTACATTTAGTTACACTGCATTGCATTTGCCATATTCTTCTCATTCCTACATTTTGGAGTTGTTCATTTTAAGCTCTGTCCAGCGCCCATGTTGTTTTTAACGTCTCCAAATAATGTGATATCATCAGCAGATACAGTCTTCTCTGCCAGTGCGTCCAAAATCTACATCTGTTGAACTGTTGTGTGCCAGAAGTTGTTAAAGATTTAACAGTCCTGCCACGAAGTGTATATTTGCCTTTCTAAACTGTGTATTTCTCAGTTTAAACAGCTCTGAACAATTCACACATTATTCAGAGGTTTTACCCCACCAAAGTTACTCCTCATCCAGGCTCCATTACTGGGGTAGTCAGAATGGCCGTTTCTTCCATTTTCTATTCTTTATAGCCTCTAGGACTACATTAAACTCCCCTCCTACCACTGAGTTCCAGCACTGCGATTTAATTTTATTTTGGCTCCAACTGCTTTTTCCACAAGCCAAAAAAGAAAGAAAAAAGAACCTGGAAAATAAGAAGAGGGGAGAGAAGGCAGTTCCCAGCTGGAGTTGGCAAGGGCTGGGATGGGCTGCGAAGATGGCTCAGGGTTTGTTCTAGGGGAAATGGCTCCTCTCTGCCTCTCAAATTTGGCTGCACTGCCTGCAGTTTTCCATCCAACTAAGAAAAAATGGAGGGGGGGGGGAAAAAAAAAAAAAACTGGTCAAAATTGCCAGATGGAGGCTGTCTCTTTATTTCCCACAGCAGGGTGGAGGCAAAGCAAATTCTAGGAACTGACTTGCCAGCTTTCCAAGATCTACCCAAATTTTCTTCGATGGTTCAGAATGAAAGCTCTTGGCACCCCCAACTGTCCATGACACTTAGAATCTCAGTTCCAAGTCAGTCAAAGCTGGTTAAAATTTAAGACTTCAGTTTTCCTTTGGTTTCAGATCGCCTGGATCATTACTAATTTCTTCCCTGTTCATTAGGGAAAAATAAAGGCTCCCAAATTGGCTTACAAATATGGATTGTGGGATATTCCCTGTCTTTTGATGCATAACCAAGATGACGTATATTGTACAAAGCAGAGGAATGAGGAGAGAAGGGGATGGGGGAGAAAGCAAATTCAGGCACTGTTTCTTAAGTAGAAAAATTAATTTTGACAGCTTTCCCCATCAATATATGATCAGCACTTATTAAGTTTATCCAAATTAAACTGAAATAATTCACACAACTAGATCCTGTTTAAATAAACGCAACAACCCACTAATCTCTCCAAATGCTCCCCAACATACTGCTTTTTTTTAGAAGGGGACTTTCTTACCCAATCAACCTGTTGGAATTTTATTGAAAAGCAAGCTCAAGCTTCCATGTAAGTATGGATGCTGGAGGAAGTCAGAAAAGTCAAGATGGTAGCCACCACGTCATGAAAATCCCATTTTTTCCCCACACAGAAACCTCTGCACATGTTCCCTTTTTATACTGGCTCCTTCATCTTTTAAAAGACTCACAGAAAATCCATTCATTTGTTTACATATTTTTTCTAACAACAGTGCTAAGACATGTCCACTGGGAAGCATCCCAAATCACCCCCAAATCCAAACCGCATCGACTCATCCAAGGATTACTTTCAACAAACACTACAATCATTTGATGATCCTTTTGCTAACAGCAGAGGCCTCGGCCAACTTTGCTTTACTCTACGGCAGTGTTTCTCAACCTTGGCCACTTGAAGATGTGTGGACTTCAACTCCCAGAATTCCCAAGCCAGCATGCTGGCTAAGGAATTGTGGGATTGAAGTCCACACATCTTCAAGCTGCTAAGGTTGAGAAATACTCTCCAACTGCTATCTATGGTCCAAAAAGTCCCAGCCATTATAGCTACCACACGCAGCCATCTTCCTCCCCAAATATCAGCCCCACAAATTATAGTCTTGCTTTCTAAATTTTCATGTTGCATTCTCTCTTAGTTTTTCCTTCCTGTCATTGGGTTGTGGTCAGAATAAAATGGGGAGGAAAGAAAACCACAGAAGCCACCCAGACTTCTGAGGAAAGGCAATAAAAATTTGATAAGAGGAAATAAAACAAAAACAACGTAAGAATAATTTAAGATGAATTTGGGATTCCATCCAGCATCACATTTATAGATACAGGTATCCTTTTCTCTCTCTCTCTTTCCCCCTCCCTCCCTCCCTCCCTCTCTCTCAAAAAAATGTTCATACGTCCCCAAAAAGCTTTTTTTTCCTGGATTCATCACCTGGACAGTTGACATTGTGTTTTATTCTACAGTATTGGGAACAATATTTGGAGAACCAGGACAGATAGTACCTCTTCCTTGACAAAGTAATTAAGTCTCTCCATTTGCACCCCATAAACTTTTTCCCCATTTATTTTGCGTAACAATCACAGGCAGGGAAGTGGACACTAACTCTCCCAGGCCTGGAAAAGTCCTTCAGATGTGCTGGATTACAATTCCCATTATCCCTTGCCCACTGGATACCAAAGGGGCTACAGTCCAACTATGTGGAGGGTAGAAGTTTGAAGAAGACTGAACACCCTCAGCCACTCTCCGAGTGTATCTAAACTTCTATTTTATGGGCCCACCCCTTTCCTCCGCCCCCCCCACTTCTACAAATGCCCATTGAGCAATTTTGCTTCTGGCTGGAAAACCTACCTTCTGGTGGAGCCCCCATCCTGCCCGTACCCGTCCTCCGCTTGCTCCGTTCCAGAGCAACAGATGGTGATGGCTCAGCACCAGTGGGATGGTGGAGGGGAGAGAGAGTTGGGGCAGGTGCCAGAGAAGACTTAGCTGTGCTGCTCTTCCTCCCAGCCACCCTCACCCCAACTCTCTTCCCACCTTTCTTTCTCTCTCTCTTGCCTTTCCCTGCCTCTCAGTTCTCCATCCGTGCCTGCCACCCTCACTAATTCATAGCACCTCCTTCTAGTTCAGTATCATCCTCCCCCTTTATCTCTTCCCCTTCCTCACTTATCCCTGACAGCTTTCCCTTTTACTATTTGTCTTTCTCTTTTAATATTTAATCTTCTACTTTCTTAAATCAGCTATCGGGTCCCCAAATTTCTTCTTTTTTCTCCTTACAAGTTTTGTGATGAATGCACCTTCTCTACTGTGCACCCTTTTCCTCTTTCAAACGGAGATATATCTTCCTACCTAACCCTATTTTATCCTGAAAATTTATCTTTCTGACTCATTTACAAGATTAATCTTTTCAATCAATCATTCAATGGGAGTTACCTGATTGCTAAAATTTTCCATTTAAAGGTCTTTTAAAAACCCTAAGAGCAGGGAATAATGCAATGTTAAAAGCAAGCACCAAAAAGTAAAAATTATGGCAATAAAAACTGTGGTAAACTACAACTTTGAGTAAAGATAATCTCAACAGTACATTTAATTAGAAATAATCACCATTGAAGTAATCATCACTAATTCAAAGAAATTTACTTGTCAAAAAGAATGATTTTTAAAAATTCTAGTATTTTAACAATTGTGGATCTGTTGCACCTCAGATCTAATCAATTGATTATCTATCTGATCAATCATCTACTTATTAAAATGATGCACCGTTATTTTATTGTCCAGATACAACAATCTTATGCTGCTTATACTCTAACATTATTCCTCAAATAAATGTGTGTGTATTCCTGTGCATGCAAATAAATCCACTAAACTGTCTAGGGTAGATCATCTACTCCAGTTTAAAATATTACTAAATTATTGATTCAATTGATGTTTTAATCCTAGCCTTTTTTTAAAAAATTCTTAATAGTATCCAGTACAGGTTCTGCTATTGCCAAATTGCAAAAAGCAACAATTCTTTTTACAGTATAAAGCGCATGATGTATTACAGATAAATAGTTGTGGTTTGGATAATTTCATGACGGTAATTTTTTTTAGTTAACTGTTCCTAATTTTTACAATACTATGAAGCAAGTTGTACGATCATTTCCACTCTCCTAATTGGAGATCTGATGCAGCGGTCCAGTTCACGGACAATGAAACAAAAATTTGAACTCTGCACGCTCTTCCCTGCCACATTAATTTGCTTCTGCTGTGTCTCTCTTCACACAACACACTCATCCCTCAATGTCTGCTCTTCTCATATTTCTCTTTGCTTTTCTTCCTCTCAGCTCTGTCTTTCTTCCCATAGCTGGGGTGGCCTCTGGAGCTTAATGTCTTCCCTGATTGTCCAAGTTCTACTCATTCCCTCTCATAACTGCTGCACACATTCACAAGTACAAGTTACTTGAACTTACCTTTCCCGTCTTCCTTGTTCGGTTCTGCTTTCTCTTTCATGCTGTTGCGATTTCCAATCTTCCAAACTTGGAAAAAGGGCTGTTGCTGGTAGGAGATGAATTTAGGCCTGGAAAATTCCTCCTTGCTGGGGAATGTCAAACTTCAGGAGTGGTGTTTTTTTTTTTTTTGGTGGGGGGGAGAGGACTAGTTAACCCTTTGTTACCGAGCCACTGATGCTAGCAAGCTCTGAGCATTGCACAGTCCTGTAGCTGGGACATACTAAGAGGAAGCTGTTACCTTTCCCACTCCGTGTCCCAGACAGGCATAGCATTGATCTTTACGTGCTGTCCCAGCAGATTCTTGATCCCTCCACGCCCCGACAGCTGCCACAGCTGTACCCCTGGATCTTTTCCAAAACTTGGGAGAGAACAGCTTTTCTATTCCAGGAAACTGAAGAGGCATACATAAGGGAGCATATTCTTATTTTTTCTTTCTCTCTCTAAATTCTCTAAGACACCAGAGTAGGTAGAATTTCTTACTCTGTGACTGATTTGTGCTAGGAACACTAGAAAAGAAAACCAACACACTCACATGCAATATATAGGGAAAGGGGGGACAGAGCCCAAAGTATAGAGCTCCACCCTAAAGCTACAAATAACTACAATGGAAAGCATACAACCAGAGTAAACTGATCTGTGCAGGACCAGGAATATGCTAGGACTGTCAGTAAAACTGGCTGATCTATTTGTTTCGGCATATCAAATTCTGAAGCATGTGCATGGAACGTATGTTCCATATGTATGTGGGCATGTTTACTGCAAGAATTAAAGGAACATGAGGACATTGGGATATATATTATGAGCAGTTGGCAAGTAGTATGTAATAATGGAAAAAACAGAAAGCGCCATTTTAAAGTCCTTGGGTTTTTCAATCCTTACTACAAGTAGTCCTTGACTTATACATCACAAGTGGGACCAGAATTTCTGTTGATAAGTAAGGTGGTTGTTGAGTGAGTTCACCTGATTTTAACAACCTCGTTTGCCAGGGTTCTTAAGAAAATCATTGCAGTTGTTAAATAAATTACACAGTTGATAATCAAAGCAGGTCTCTCCCATTGACTTTGTCAGAAATTGGCTGGGAAGGTTGCAAAATGGCGATCGGACGACTCCAGGACCCTGCAACCATCATAAATACAGTTTATGTACGTTGCCAAGTGCTCAAATTTAGATCATGTGACTTGCTGCAATGGCCTTAAATGCAAGGATTGGTCGTCACTTGTGCCACTGTAACTTTGAACAGTCGCTAAATGAATGGTCATAAATTGAGGTCCTTCTGTACAGAAACTCTTATTCACAGGTCTGCTGTTAGCAAATACCAATAATTTCCCACCCACCCCCTCCATGATTATAAGAACTAAGCACTTACTCTTTTTAAACCAATGAAAGCTCAGATTCCAAACTCCAGATTAAGGTTCTTACCAACAACTTCTGTGGGTAAAGCAGTGACTTCTACAGTAGCTGTTGCAACCCACTCCTGCAAGTGGAAATTGCTATATTAGGAAGTCCAGCATAAAATCAAAACTTAGGTTTTGTTTGTTCTGTTCCTTTTCCCTCTACACAGCTAGAAAGGTCCCTACATTTGCTTCCACAGCATAGCCCAACTCCAGGGTCAGGAATTCACCAACCATCTATTTTGGGGGCGTATCTGATTTCAGTCCCTTGTGTTGGCATTTTGAGGGCATGAACTGCTCAGAGTATGTGCTTGTTTAAAGACCACAGAGAAAAATGACTGTCTCTCTTTTGGCCACTTGGACGAAGAGCATGCTAGGAATTTTCAGAAAATCAGCAGCAAGGCAAGCCAAAGATTTTTCCAAATTGTCAAAGAGAAGAGGTTTGTGAAAGACAGAATATATTTATTTATTTATTTCGGTTTTAGGAAGGTGGTTTTTTTTTTTAAAAAAAAAAAACAGGGTCTGCCTATTATGGTTGTAACTCAAGATGGTTGTAAAGCAGGATCTTAAGATCTATTTTGAATGATTGTTAAGCGGAGTATAGAGTCATTAAGCAAACTCGTTGTTTGCTATGGGATATTTTTTGCCAAAAACTGTTAGGTAAATGCTGATTTTCAGTTAAATAATCGTAAATTGTGGTCATGTGTCTGCAGGATACTGCAAATGTCCGTAAATGTGGGCTGGTTGCCTAGCACCCAAAATGAAGTCACATGACCATGGGGGTGGGGAGGAGACGACTAGCCTTTATAATTTTGAAACCTGGTTGTAAGTACCTTTGGCACTAATGGCACTAAGCAACTTGTCGTAAATTGAGGACTACATACATAATTCTCATATTGCAAGACATTCTATAGCTTTGTAGATCTTTGTAGATCTTGGTTTTTCTCCCCAGATGCAAGAGTAATTTTATATATATTTACATCTATATATACAATACACACACACACACACAACCTTTATATACATACACACACACATCTCACTAGCTTTCTTGTGCATTGTGTATTGCACCTACGCAAAGGTCCTCTTTGTAGACTTTAGTTCAGCATTCAATACAGAGCTGAAATCCAAAATTTTTCCCTACCGGTTCTGTGCGCATGGCTTAGTGGGCGTGGCAGGGGAAGGATATTGCAAAATCTCCATTCCCGCCCCACTCCAGGAGAAGGATACTGCAAAATCTCCATTCCCTCCCATCCTAGGGAAAGGATATTGCAAAATCTCCATTCCCACCCCACTCTGGGGCCAGCCAGAGGTGGTATTTGCTGGTTCTCTGAACTACTCAAAATTTCTGTTACTAGTTCTCCAGAACCTGTTAGAACCTGCTGAATTTCACCCCTGATTCAGTACCATTGTATCAGACATTCTTCCAACTAAACTAAACCTGAACACACTTGTAAGTGGATCACAAGCTTCCTAATAGACAGGAAACAGCAGATGAAGCTAGGCAAAATCACATCAGATACCTGTCCAATTAGCACAGGAGCCCGCCAGGGCTGTGTACTCTTTTCACTTCTCTTCTCTCTCTATACCAATGACTGCATCTCAAACAATCCATCTGTTAAACTACTAAAGTTTGCAGATGACACAACAGTGATTGGTCTCATTCGAGACAATGATGAATCTGCATACAGATGGGAAGTTGAACAACTAGCCTCGTGGTGCGACTGGAACCTGAAACTGAACACACTCAAAACCGTAGAAATGGTGGTAGACTTTAGGAGAAACCCTCTCATACTATCACCTCTCACAATACTAGACAACGCAGTATCAACAGTAGAGACCTTCAAATTTCTATGCTCCATCATATCTCAAGACCTAAAATGGACATCTAACTTCAAAAACGTCATCAAAAAAGCAAACAAAGAATGTTCTTTCTATGCCAATTCAGAAAGCTCAAACTGCCCAAGGAATTGCTGATTCAGTTCTACAGAGGAATTATTGAGTCTGTCATCTGCACCTCTATAACTGTCTGGTTCAGTTCTGCAACCCAACAAGACAGACACAGACTTCAATGGATAATTAGAACTGCAGAAAAAACAATTACTACCAACCTGCCTTCCATTGAGGACCTGTATACTGCATGAGTCAAAAAGAGGGCTGTGAAAATATTTACAAGACCCCTCACATCCTGGACATAAACTGTTTCAACTCCTACCCTCAAAACAACGCTATAGAGCACTGCACACCAGAACTAGTTTTTTCCCAAATGCCATCACTCTACTAAACAAATAATTCCCTCAACACTGTCAAACTATTCACTAAGGCTGCATTACTATTACTATTAGTCTTCTCATTGTTCCTATCACCCATCTCCTCTTACTTATGACTGCATGACTGTAACTTTGTTGCTTGTATCCTTATGATTTATATTGATATTGATTGGTTCCTAGTATGATTTGATTGCTTATTTGTACCCTATGACTATCATTAAGTGTTGTACCTTCTGATTCTTGACAAATGTATCTTGTCCTTTTATGTACATTGAGAGCATATGCACCAAAGTCAAATTCCTTGTGTGTCCAATCACACTTGGCCAATAAAGAATTCTATTCTATTCTATTCTATTCTATTCTATTCTATTCTATTCTATTCTATTCTATTCTATTCTATTCTATTCTATTCTATTCTATTCCTTTTGTACCAAGTGCTTGGTACAGTGGCTGAAGTTCCAAATGCAAGTCACTTTCAAGGAGCTATTGGCCAAATATATAATTTTTCTGGCTTTAAAATAACGTTCAATCAGCACCGCTGCATGCCAATAATTCCTACTGCAGTACTTAATGTCACTTATTTTTACTTTGTCTGAAAAAATCCCTAAGGATTTTGATTTACAATAATTCTGTTGTAGAATTTTCTATTGCTTAAAGCTGTATACTTAGCATCTGATTAGTTGATATTGACATTTTGTAGCCTTTGTGATTTTGCCAGCTATTTAAGCATGTTAATACATCTGATTTTGTCTATATTTTTTCTCTTTACTACCATAAAAGATTATTCATCCTAAGAGAGCCAAAGATTTAGCTTTCCCTAAATTAGTTGTTTCCAAATATGTGATTTATGAAGCTTCATAACATTTTTTAGTGGTAACTGTAAGAGAAATTGGTATAGACATCACAACTAATACTTTATCTTTCTCTCTGACAATGAAGCATTTTAATAACAATAAAATCATTATTGTTAGGAAAGACAATTTAATTATAGCATTTTACCTCTGTGGCTAATCATATTTCTGGGAAACAATATTCTTTTTGGTACTTTCTGGAAAATAATTGTTAATAGTTCCTCTAAGAATAATATTTTCTGTGTGCATCTTCAATTCAGTTTTGATTCCAGGTGACTCGTTATTTCTTGGCTGTCCCATTTTCAGAAGTGGTTTGCACTGCTTTTGCCCTAGGGCTGAGAGAGCATACTGACCCAGTCATTCACTTGGCTTTTGTGCCTATGACAGGATTAGAACTCTCTATTTTCTAGTCTGTGGTTTTAACCACTACAGTAAAAAATGGCTCTCTTAACCCTTAATTGGTAATACATTTCCTCCACAAATTTGAAGAATTCGTCTTTAAAATGATGTAGGCTACTAGCCTTAAAATTTGCATAGCAAGCCAATAATTTGCCCTCAATTTCATCCTACAGCCTAGAAAGGAGGACAGCAATTAGTAAATGGAAAGACACTGTCAAATTATTAATCTTAAATCCCAATAAACCTACATACATTAATCAGTCATAAAACCAAAATTAGACCTAGAGGATGTAGTCCATTCCAATAGGACTGCATTTTTTCCTTTTGTTTTTAGAAGAATTTTAACTTAAAATTTCTAAAGGTCGCTGCCTATTTGGTTACAATATACTCCTTTGCACATGCACTTTTCCAGTTTACATTGCCAAAGGTAGTTGTGACTCAACCTTAGCAATTTAAAGCTGTGTGGACTTCAACTCCCAGAAGTCCCAAGCCAGCATCGCTGAAAAGGGAATTCTGGGAGTTGAAGTCCACACATCTTTAAAAAGTTGAAAAGTTGAGACACGCTGGACAAGACAATTAGTTCAACAGTCCTACGGCTTTATCCATTAAGCCTTGCCCTGACAAAGAGGCAGCCGGATGCCAAAGAAACTTAACAAAACACAAACGAGCTCACATCCCATTTCCTCTTCGCCTTTACGCCTTTACGACGTTAATAAAAGTTTCAACTTGCTTTCTCTTTACCTCCTTTCGCGCACGCGCTCATTAAAGACCGGCCGAAGGGCGGAGACTTTACCTCCTTTCGAGCGCGCATCCCTTGGTAGCGCGCATGCGTAAAATGTAAGGTCTTGCGAGAGCGAGGTTAGGAAAAGCGAGGCGGGGCCAAAGCGGTATAAAAAGGCCACGTGCGCCGGCGTTCCTTTCTGTTTCAAATGGCGGACGGTTACAGGTTGGTGTTTGCGGGGGGCCGCAAGGGAGGTGGGGGGGGGGGGGGGGGGGGGGGGGGGGGGGGGGGGGTTAAGGATTATTTGGATCACTTTCATTTGCTGCTGTGATACTGTCAGCAATGATTCTCCTTTTTTTTAACGAGAAGGTGAAAGCCGGACCTGTTGATCGTTTTAAAAAGTCGGGGAGGGGAAAAAGGGGACTCCTTAGCAAAGGAGGATTGGAATAAGAAATAGGACTATGATATGGGCAGGAAGATCCGATCCGATCCTTATAGAAAAGGCCTTGAAGGATCTATGGATTGGGAATCCAAGCAATCGGAACAGAGCTGGAAGGGAACCTTGGAGGTCTTCTAGTCCAACCCCACTGCTCAAGCAGAAAAGACCCTACATACCATTTCAGAAAAGTGACTGACAGTTTTTTCTTAAAAACTTTCAGTGATGAAGCACCTACAACTTCTAAAGGCAAACGGTTAATTTGTCCTCACTGTTAGGAAGTTTCTCCTTAATTCCAGGTTGCTTCTCCCCTTAGTTAATTTCCATCCATTTCTTCCTGTCCTGCCTTCTGGTGCTTTGGAAAATAAATTGACCCCCTCCTCTTTGTGGCAGCCTCTCAAATACTGGAATACTGCTATCATGTCCACACTAGTCCTTTTCTTTACACTAGTCAAACCCTCCAACCATTATTAATTTGCTTTAGTCTCCAGGCCTTTAATAATCTTAGCTGCTCTTCTGTACACTTTTTCCAAAGTGTCAACATATTTTTTTGTAATGTGACTAAAACTAGATGCAGTATTCCAGATGTGGCCTTACCAAGGTTTTATATAAAGCGATGCTTAGTACTTAATGTGATTTTGATCCTGTGCCTCTGCTTATACGAACAAGGATTGTATTACCTTTTTTGGCTGCTGACAGACTGCTGGCTCATGTTTAAGGATGGTCCACTAGGACTCCAAGGTTCCTTTACTGTTTTGAGCCAAGTTTTGCCTAATCTGTACTTGTACCTACCTTTGATTTAATTGAATTAAGCATCTTTTCCTTTTCCTTTGGTAGGTAGGTGGGATAGGAGTATAGATGAGAAAAACGTGGCAACAGGATTCTTCCAATGATGTTAGCACTGGGCACAGACTACTATGATGATAACAGTGCCCCCCTTGCCTTTGACATCTTGGGGGACTGAGGAACAGAATCCTGGCCTGCCTGTTAAAATGTATGGTTGAGGAAGAAGCTCTTGGGAGTGTTTGATTGCTGGTAGTGACTGCCATGTTAGGGAAACACTGGTACAGGTAGTCCTCAACTTAACAATTTGTTTAGTGACTGTTCAAAGTTACAGCGGCATTGAAAAAGTGACTTATTGTATGCTTACGACCGTTGTAGGATCCCCATCATCACATGATCAGAATTCAGACATGTGGCAACTGACTCATTTATGACAGTTGCAATGTTTCTAATGTGACCTTCTGAAGGTTTTGTGATCTTCTGACAAGCAAAGTCAGTGGGGAAGCCAGATTCATTTAACAGCCATGTTACTAACTTAACTGCAGTGATTCATTTAACTATGGCAAGGAAGGTCGTAAAATGAGGCAAAAGTTACTTAAATGTTTCACTTAGCAACAGAAATGTTGGGCTCAATTTGGGTCATAAATTGAGGACTACTTGTATTTGCCATAACAGCTAAGCTAACTGAAGAATAAGTTTCTCCCACTCTGTCATGACCAACTGAGGAATTCTAGAGTTGAAGCCTGCACACCTTGAAAGTTACCAAGGTTGAGAAACACTGCTCTAAATGCACACAAAAAGTGTGCATGCATACCCATTTAATGAATAGACCTTCTAGGTATCATGAAAAAGGCCAAGCAACAGAGGAAAAACTGTTGCCTTGTCCTCCAAATAATTTAATTGTGAGTATCAAGAAAGCTCAGTTTGGTCTACAGGTTAAGGCACGGGAAAGCGGGAGACTGAGTTCAAGTCTTAGCCATGAAAGTCAGCTGGGCGAGTTTGGGCCAGTCACTCTCAGCCCAACCCCCCCCTGCACAAGGTTGTGTGGAAAATTGGAATACTGCTTTTGTCGGATTATTTGTAAAATAAAAGTGGGATACAAATAAAAATCTTGAGTGGTAGGTATGATGATGTGAGCATGTTAGAAAGTTGTTGCTTTTTTTGCTTTAATATAACTTTCTGAAAGTGACCTATTTATCCCTCCCTTCCCACACCCATCTGTGTCTCCTTTAGATTTTGCAGATACGATTATACCAGATCCTGGAAACAGGAAATTACTAGCAAACCAAACGCAAGTCCAGATGTTTCTGCAAATGGAAGACAGGAGGCCATTCTACATGTGGAATGGTTGAAGGTAGGACCAGCAAGGCTTGGGTTTGTGTTACACTATTGTTGCACAAAAAGAACTGATAAGATCAAAAGCCTTTGATCTTCCCCCTCCCTCCTTTTAATAGCCTTCTAATCTGAAGTCAGAGAAACCCAACCCTACTATTAAAATACATTTTTTCCTTAAAGGAAATAAAATGCTGATAAGCAGCCCTGTAGTCAACATTTTAAAAGCAGGCAGTTTTTAATACTTGTGCCCATGCTCTTACAACCCTGCCTGGCCAGGAAGATCTTTGCTAATAAAGAAGATAACAGAATATTTCTTCCAACCATAAAGACTATACTTCCTGCTTCCTTGTGGTCATAAAAACATTTCACTCACACCAAAGGCTAAAACTGTATATAAACCTTGCTGATGTGCCAATGTGTGGGCAGCCACCCCAGAAACATGTTGCTGTCTCTCCACTAGAGGGACTAATGGGAGCCTCTGATCAGAGGAAGTTGCCTGTCCAGGCGGGAAGCACATGCACCAATTATGCAGGAAATGGACTTTGTTCAGAGATGAAGCGGGAAAACCAATTTGGCTAAATAAAGATACTTAAAAACAAAGGGAAAAAATGTAACTGATCTTTCTCCTGCTCTGTGCAATCGCTGGGCAATTAATATGTTCATTGAGATTTTTGCCTTTCCTAATTTAAGATTTAAAGTGAGAAACTGTAAACCCGAGTTCTGTTTTTCTTTCCTTTTTTTTTTTTTTTTTAAATTTGATTTATATGCCGCCCTTCTCTGGAGACTCAGGGCGGCTTACAATGTGCATTCCCTTGTGTATGTGTGTCAAAGTCTTTGTGTGCCCTCGAGATAAGCGCAACTGTTAAATTCCTATAAGCCCCAGAGAAAAGAATTTTTAAATCCTGTTAGGAAAATGTTAGCTTGCCTGGCCAGCAAAATGAGGTGAAGAGAACCGTGTTCCCTATTTTCTCCCTGACTTTTTAAGAACAGTCCAAGTCTGTCAGGAGGGAATGTTCTAAACCAGTGGTTCTCAACCTTCCTAATTCCGCGACCCTTTAATACAGTTCCTCATGTTGTGGTGACCCCCAACCATAAAATTATTCCTAAAACCATTGAAAATATGTGTTTTCCAATGGTCTTATGCGACCCCTGTGAAAGGGTTGTTCGACCCCCAAAGGGATCGCGACCCACAGGTTGAGAACCACTGTTCTAAACTCATTTAAAAGTAAAGTTTTTTTTATTGTATGTATGTTTTAGCTAAGTGTTTTGTGGGTGGATTTTGTTTGTCTGTAAACCAGGAAATACGTCTATTCACAAATGCCTATATATTTCTGACCTCAAGTCTGTTTGCCTGTGCAAATGCCTTTTCCTGTTAGCTCATTTCAGTTTACAAGCCAAGAAATAACCACTCTTCCCAATAATATCTTTAAGCCTTGGACTTTCTAAATTTTGGCTACAAACTATTCACACCATTCCACTTCTCCATCTCGCTTCCCGAGTCTCCATTCCTCATTTCCTACCCAATTGCTCTATAGATTCCTATTGAGTTAAATGATAATAGAATCTGAATGATTCCCCCACTGCAGCCAAAGGAACAATTTTGTTGCAATTAAACTTGCACTTGGAAAGAAAAAGAAAGCAAGCCAGTTGTAAATGAGTGGGAAAACTTGGTGTTTGCAATGCAAAGAGTAAACTCTTCCTTTCAAATAGTTTCCTTTTTATCTACATGCTCTAGGAGGGAAGAGTTTCAGTTATTTTATAAGTCATTTTTCCTGAAAGGTGTTGAGCCCGATAAATTTAGTCTCAAAGAGTCTCTCTTGTATTCTAAGTGATTGGGAGTAGAGGGCTGAGGCATTCTTTTCAGTGTGCATTCTCTTGTGCTTGTTCATTTTCACCTGCAGATTATCCCAGAACTAAAGTGAGGTATCAAAAAAGTGGGGAAAGGGCTGCAGATATGATCCCCCTTCTTTTCCCCCCAGCCTCCCTGTATGTTGAGTTCTGGAATATATCATATCCTCCCGCTATTCTGTGTGTTTGTAAGCAGTTTAATTTTTTCCCCTAAGGTATGCTTCATTTTTAAGTGTATATGCTTTGTCATTGTAGTTTCTGGACATCAAATAAACAAAGAGACCTCTTTTCCAAAATGCAGCCTGCCTCAGACTTCATTCTCTGCCTGCATTCTCCTCCTGGCTTGGAATAAGAAATAAACCAGATTTAACCTCCAACAGAACCTGACAAAGGGAAGAATTGGCAGAACAGAGAGGGAGATGATCTGCGCTTTGCCTCCTGGAATGGACTGGCCTGTTGATTCCTCCTTTTCCTAGTGTTCCTTCTCCAAATGTCTTGCTTTTGAGAGACAGGATCTCATAGTGGAAGGTGAGGATATAATATTAAAATGCAGAAGGGAAGGACTTCATGTTAGAACCATCTTCAGAATTTTCCCCCCCATGCTTTGTTTACCTTCTGCCTCTTTTCCCTTCCCATAAATTAGGATGCTTTTATACAGTTCTCAAATTACAACCTTTCGTTTAGTGACTGTTCAGTGTTATAACAGCACTGGAAAAAAGGGACTTAGGACCATTTTTCACACAACTCTTCCAGCATCCCCTGTGGTCATGTAATCAAAATTTGGACGCTTGGCAACTGACTCATGGCAGTTGCAGTGTCCTGGGATCCACTTTTGAGACCTCCTGACAAGCAAAGTGGGGAAGCCAGGTTCACTTAACAACTGTGTAGCTGATTTAACTGCTGCAGTGATTCACTTAACAACTTTGGCAAGATGGCAAAACTCACTTAACAATTGTCTTGCTTAGCAATTGAGGTTTTGCTCAGTTGTGGTCGTAAATCGAGGACTACCTATAATCACTTGCATAAAGCTTTAGATGCTGAGTATTGTAAACATTTTGTTTTTAATGGGCAAAAAATGTCAATTACTCTTGGAAGATGGGTAAATGGAAATGAAACACAATACTGAATTAACTTGCCTTGTTGCTTTGAAACCGTGCTTCTATTACACTCGGAGCATGGTATTATTCGAGAATGGAATTTAAGCAAAGCACATTTTAAAGATTTTATTAAGAAAATTTATACAGCCACCCAACTTGGTGGGTTTACAGGGATAAACTCCCAATACAAAAGCAATACAGTGCCCCCTCCCCCCTCCCCCCCGACAATAATTAGACCAGCCACTTGATGGACTCCATGTCACTCTGAAGTCCCCAATCTCATTGGCAGAACCATGTCCAAGGCCTTGGGAAAGAGTGCCAAAGTGGGGGCCAATTTTATCTCTGAAGAAATGATGTTCCACAGGGAGGGAGCCACTACAGAGAAAGCCCGAGTAGATTTCTAATTTGAATATCTTTTATTTTTCCTAGGTGAGATGTTACACAGTTGCTGGCAGGCTTTAATGTGAGCCAGCTCTTCTGGAACGTATGCAGTGTAGCCTACTAGGACCCTTAAAAGGCTGTTGGTAAGTAATTATGTACTGCGAATATGATTAGTAATTTTCATTGGTCTACCCCAGTTTGGTGCCTATCGAATGTATGGGAATTGAAATCCAACTAATCTCGTGATACTTGATTGGGGTTGGCTGTCCAAACTTTTAGGTGTTGAGATGCTAATGTATTTTGTGTTACTTGTTTCATTCAGCCTGCCCACCTTTTAACGAGAGCATTGAGGAAGCCTGCATAGAAGACCTTCTTCCCCAAGAAGAAATGCAGTTCAGAAATTTTCCTGGATCCAATGTTTGCGATGGGAGGGATTTGGCATTGTTTGTCCATTATGTCTCTTATTCTGTTTTTCATGCAGAAGTGAGAGGCTTACTTACCAGATCCTGATTAGAAAGCAGTGGGAGGTTTACTTACTCTCTTACTCAATAAACATTTCATTAATTGGTGAATAACTTTGTTATGTCTGTTGCAAAGGGGCAATACCACTAAACTGCAAAATACTTGATGACTTTGGACTCCAGCAGCAGCCTTATACACACACCCATCTGAGTAAACTAGCTGGTAATGCTGCTGCAAAGCATGCCTTCTTAAAAGGGGTTACTTTCTTAACCCCTCTCTTCAAGTGTTTTTTTATGACTCCTAGCCCTGCTCTTAGTAGCAGGAAAAGGGTAGCCACTGAAGAGCTGTGCAGCTTACTTAAAATACCATATGATGCAATTAGTTGTGAACCTCTGCTGTAGATGCTACTTAGAACTGGGTCAAGCAGCCAAGTTCGGTGGCTGGGAAAGGAACAGCAAAAATTACTCTGCAGAGTGGGGGAGAATCTTTGACTTGCAGCAAAATGTAGCAGTTACATTTTTGGAAGGTGATCTTGGGCTACTAAATATTATAGCTGCCCAGTCAGAAAATCTCCAAGCAATGTTCTTTTCAAGGACACTGCCTGCCTTTCCATACAGTTGGGTTTCTTTTCGGTTCCCTGTATTCATGAATTTGTGTCCCTTTGAGAGATCCTGGGCGAGACAATATAGCCATCTCTTGGGAATTCATGGCACCTGCAAGTATTAGTCACAAATGAAATACTAAAGTACATTTATTTTTCATGCAGCTTGTCTGCAAACAAGCTTATTGACATTAAACAAAAGGGGTGGTTATTCCTACTGGCAAGACTAAATGTATGAATGAAGTATCCACAATATGTGCCTGTAATGGGAAAGTAGCAGCTGCCTTTGGTATAGTGATGTGAAAGTATACTATACCACTAGGTAACCCTGCCATTGAACTGGTCTGTTACCCTTGCCTCATGTCAGGTAGACCCCAAGAACTTAATCTTTGAAATGGGTTTGGGGTTTTTTCCCCCTAGGATGCCTCCTTTATTGATAGGAAACTAGTTCCTTGAGTAGGTGGGTGAACCTGACTTACCTTGCAGCATTGGGTGTAGTGCAACACTTAACTGGGTTTTGCACAATAGCTTAACAATCCTGTCCTATGCAACATGTTCTGTGAATCTGGTAACCCAGTCAGTACTGAAATGGGCAGCTTTAACCCCAAAACTACTAAATAAAAATTTCCTTCTACTGTAGTATATATGTTGTGTAAAGTCAAAAATCCAGCTTTCCTGCTAGATGATGAGAAACTACTAAAGTCATGAAAATGCAGGGTTTTTTGGTCAAGGACACTTCTCAAACTACTGAGTGCAGCATTTAGTGGGAACAGAAATGACATAATGAAGCTGTCCCTGTTGTTTAGTGCAGAGCTTACAGAATATTGGGCAAGATGGGGAGAAATGAGGGGGGACAATATTCTTTTATCAAGTTGATGCAGTGTATTTAAATGAACCTTAATTGGGTTGGACACCCAAACATGCTAAAGGGAAAGCATCTACTAGGAATTTAGAGTGCAGGACATGTAGTTGATAAGCGCTAAAATCTAACAGTTGTGCCATAATGGCATTTCAGCTAAGCTCTTTGCATTCCTTTTCCTACTAACATCCTGTGCTGAATTTCCTGCTGGCGTTGACCTCCAAGTAGTTGGTTAGGAACTGCCTGGCACAAAGTCTGTGTCAGCTCCCCCCTTTGTCACATTCTCCCAATTAGAATGCTAGCTGAGCAAGGCGGGTGAGAAGTCCGAGATGGCTGCATTGCACCATATTAAAAAAAAAAAAAATACAAAAAGGCAGTTTGCTTCTTGCTCCATGGGGGTTGGATGGTTGCCATTCAGCTTATCTTCATTATCACCTTCTCCAATACAAGACACCCATGCCAAGCAGTGCCACGCTCAGCACACCTACTGCTGCAGCCAGGGCTATCACTGCACGCCCTGCAAATAGAATATTGGATCAGGCATAAAAGTTTCAATTAACTAGCTCTGTGCTAAGAGAGGAGGGGGAAGATGATCTCATTACCTGGACCACTCTGAGGGTTTTGGCATTCAGCATCCCAGTCCTCTGGGATAGCTGTACGAGTGAGATGAATGAACAGTGGCAATGGGCAAGGTGTGGGGCACCCAGGCAGAGGTAGGATATGGGGCCTCTGGTCACTCCTGTTGCGGTAGAACATGGCAACGCTGAAAGAGCTGAAATGTGAAAATAATTTTTAACATCACTCTGGAACTTGCTTTACCTCCTTACGTATCTGCCAAAAGATATATTTATTTGCTGCTGCTTTTCCCCTTGCACAATCCTTGAAAAGGTTCAGGTTCTGCCACCTCAGCCTCTCTCTATCGTGATGCTACAGTCTGACTAATGCGTCAGCAACTAAATTTGCTGACAGGTTGTTTGAAGGCAGCCAGCTCTGCTGCAAGGAAATGGTTTTGAAAGTGATGAAAAGTCTGGCTCGGAAGGGATATTGTAAGAAAGGAAGAGCAAAATGAAATGACAAAATGGAAATGAGTTTTGTTTAGAATCTAGTACCTTCTCAAGTTCAGGGCGTGCAAAAATTTCCGTTTTAACATACTTCAGTGAACTACATAATACGGAAAGGCAAAAGTTAAATAATCTTTTTTGTCTGTAGGATACTGCCTAATTAAGCTCGTTTAAATATCCTGTCTGGATATCTTTGCAAGCTGAAGATGGTTCTGATTTGTCAAATTAACACCAGGTGATCTGGCCAATCTTAGATCCTATGGTTCAATATTCACAAGACTTTGTATGCTGAACACATACAAAAATCCCAAGAATTGTCCTGAATGTGGTGGAGAACAATGAACCATGTCTGCATCTTGGCACATGCAAAAGAGAGACCTGCCCACCCTTCTTTTGTTAAACTTACTTGTTGCTTTCTTGGTAGAATTCAAATCCATGACAAGCTGCATAGGGTGGTGGATGGCCATTGTAAACCCCGAGGGCTGCCTGCAGAGCAATCAAGGTGCTGTCATGCTAAAGAAAACAAGAAGAAATAATTATGCCATTTACATATTAGAATAGACCAGAATATTCTTTCTTCCCACACTTCTCATGTCCATGATTGCCTTCCTATCCTTATCTTTATTCTTGAATAAAACTTGGCATATCAAATTGTACTCTCTGTACCGTCAGGGCAGGATTTTGTACCAAGAATGCCAGAGCCCTATGGAAGGAAAAGTGTTTTCAAAGTGAAGAAAGGTATTTAAGTCCAGAGAAAGTTAAAAAAAAAAGTCTATTCTGCTTATGTTCAGTTTTGTTTCTTTCATTGGCAATTATAGCTATTTTCCTTTTTTTGATTGTTTATGTTATCTGCCCAAAATCACCATGGTGAGGTGGGTAGCTATATAGATTTGAAATTAACCAAGGAATAGTTAAATATTCAACCACCGATATAATGAAGCATGACTGGATTTGATCCGTCCTTGTTTGAATTCCTTTGCTTATTTTGAAATAAGATGTTCATTCAGCTGGGGCAGGTGGGAGGAAGGGAGGCAAGGCTCCATCTTTTTCTGGTAAGCCCTGAAATTTTGCCATAACAGCATCCGTACAAGGCAGAAGCTAGAATTCTCAAGATTATAGAAAAATGATCAAATTCTGCCTAAAACCAATTCTGTGCTGCAGATAATGATAGCTGCAGAGAGGAGAAGATTGCTCTAAATTCTCTGGATTATCCCATTTTCCAAAGTGGATCTTTGCAATTGTAAGGAATGGGAGAACTTACAGCAGAATACATTATCATCTTAAGAGGCAGATCCTGGCACACCATTTTGGAAAAGTTGCTCAAAATAGCACCCAGCAGCAATCCTGCAGAGAGGAAAATATGCTGATAGATAATATACTGAAATGTATCTGACATTCAGAAAAGCACAAGGCTGAAAAATACCGAGAAGAGAGGAGCTGCACAGTGTTGCATCAGAAAATGTACTAAAGCTTAGAAAGGAAGTTGAAGGGGTCCTGATCTCCCTCAGCCCTGACTTTGTTTTGACATGTTAAACAGCAATTCCTGCCACATGGTGGCGATATCAAGCTAACTTGGCTAGTTGCTGGACTCTGAAATGCAGAATTCCCAATGAGATTGAGGAGTGAACGAATGAATAGTATTCATTCCCTGCTAGTGAATAATAGTATTACTATGGCATCATTCAACCATGGATAGAAAGCCTGTTCTCATTTGGCACAATTATGCTAGCATCATTCTACAGATTGCTAATGGGGAAATGTGGTAAGTTTACCTGGCTAAGAGTCACTTTATATGGGAGATGGTATAGAAATTGAAAGAAAGAAAGAAAGAAAGAAAGAAAAAGAAAGAAAGAAAGAAAGAAAGAAAGAAAGAAAAAAAGAAAGAAAGAAAGAAGAAAGGAAGGAAGGAAGGAAGGAAGGAAAAGGAAAAGGAAAAGAAAAAGAAAAAGAAAAAGAAAGAAAGAAAAAGAAAAAGAAAGAAGGAAAGAAGGAAAAAAAGAAAGAAAGAAAGAAGAAAGAAAGAAAGACAGACAGACTTCCAAACTGCTACACACTTTGTACTTTCAGTCGTTTTCCGTCAAACTGTCCTGTGTTTACTTTTTAACTTAGTATTACAGAATTTGCCATACAGGTAGTCTTCAATGTACGACCACAATTGAGCTAAAAATTTATGTTGCTAAGTCAGACATTTGTTGTGAGTTTTGCCCCATTTTACGACCTTTCTTGCCAGAGTTATTAAGTGAATAATTGCAACTGTTAAGTTAGTAACATGGTTGTTAAATGAATCTGGTTTACCCATTGACTTTGCTTGTCAGAAGATCACAAAAGATGATCATATGATCCCAGGACACTGCAACCATCATAAATATGAATCAGTTGACAAGTGTCTGGATTTTGATCACTTGACCATGAGAATGCTGTAATGGCTGTAAGTGTGAAAAATGGTCACAAGTCACGTTTTTCAGTGATGTAACTTTGAACGGTCACTAAATGAACTAAGTAAAGTAAGTCAAGGACTACTGTATATGTCTGTGGAGATTCTCAGTCATCCAGGTCATAGTTGTCTCAAAGGTGGACAACTGGACTGTTCTTTTTTCCCTTGAGGAAGAAGAAGAAAATGTTTTGCTTCTCATCCAAAAAGCTTAATCAGTTCTTCCATCTCCCTGCCATCAGAACTGATGAAGCTTCTTGAATGAGAAGCAAAATGTTTTCTTCCTCAAGGAAAAAAAAACCCAGTCCAGTTGCCTTTTGAAGAAAAAAGAGCACATTTGAGACATTTACCATGTACTTCTAGGTCTTGATTCCAAACAGAGCAAATAATTCAAATTTAATCGTACCTCCAATGAATCGAGTTTTCTCCTGGGCAGCGTGCATTCCCACATGCGCTTCAATATTAAACACTTCTATCTCTGAGAGAGTTGCCAGAACCTGTGGTGTAGCCCAGCTAGGCAAAGTCATATTATGGGTTTTCTGTATGGAAAATGAAAAAAAAAATCAAAGAGAAATTTTCTAATTAAATGATGTTCTTGCTATAATATACAGGTAATTCTCAACTTACGATCACAATTGGGACCAAAATTTTTAAGGCAGGGGCCTTCAAACTTGGCAACTTCAAGAGTTGTGGAATTCAGCTTCCAGAATTCCTCAGCCAACCATGTTATGTGAAATACTCAGCTATGCCAGCTGAGCAATTCTGGGAGTTGAAGCCCAGAAGTCTTAAAAGTTGCCAAATTTGGAGAGCCCTATTCTAAGGGACTGATTCAGTGAGTTGCTCCCAATTGTAGAGCCTTTTTTGCCATTTTGTTAAGTTGAATCACTGTAGTTGTTAAGGGAATCACACAGCTGTTAAGCAAATTTGGCTGCCTCCATTGACTTTGCTCATTGTAAGCCTTTTGGGAAGGTTGCAAATGGTGATCACATGACCTAGAGCAGTGTTTCTCAACCTTGGCCACTGGACGATGTGTGGACTTCAACTCCCAGAATTCTGCTCTGCTGGCTGGGGAATTCTGGGAGTTGAAGTCCACACATCGTCCAGCAGCCAAGGTTGAGAAACACTGAACTAGAGCATTGCAAACTTTGTAAGTATATGTCTATTGTCAAGTGTCCAAATTTTGATCATGTGACCTTGGGGATGTTACAATGGCTGTAAGTGTAAAAAATGGTTGTAATTTTTTCAGTTCTAACTTTGAATGGTCGCTAAACAAATGGTTGTAAATTGAGGACTATCTGTAATCTTACCTGGCAGAAGAGTGTGTCATGCACCTTCCAGAGGCCTCTCAGGGTCAGCTGCTCAGATTTAAGCCCTGTATAATTAGCCATCTTTTCTATAAAGCCCTGCAAGAGAGGAAAACAGAAATAGTTGACTAAAATACTCAAGGTTCATTGTGCTCAATTATTTCCGTCTCAACTAACCCTGCAGTCTTATTTTCATTCATTGCAGATTTTCAGGGTGAATCTAAGCAGACATGAACTATTTAGGTCCAAATAATTTAGGAGAAGTTATGATTGTTTCCCCAAACTTAGATCTGCCTAGCAGAGATTCTTCTCACTGCAGCAGTAAGAGAGATTAATTTCAGAAACCACTAAATCATATCTGGGTCCTAGGATTGATTCACTTGATGATTTTGTAGATTTTCATACAGCCTAATCAAAGTATACGCTATTATTCTTATTTGAGATATTACAATTGTGCTATGAAGCATTTGAAATCTGAAAATGTTTTTTCAACAAGAAAACTTTATATTGAGCCATTTCTCACTGAAGTAATCCTACTCAAGCCCTGTCCTGTATCCCATCTGGGATAAGCCATGTGTAAATTAGTACTGATTAATTCTGAGGCAGTGAACTCTTCCCTTGCAAATCAACCAGTAATCTCTCTTCATCGAATAGATCCTGATAAAAAGAAGATGCTTTCTTTTAAATGTTTCTGTCTAGGATGACATTGGCAACTGTTTCAAATAAAGCGAGACCTAAATATAATGAAAGAGTTATGGAAGATGTATTTTTTTATTCCTAAATGCCTATTAAATAACACATTATATCAGCCTGTATTATAACATGACTATGCAAATGATGCAAATTAGCATGTGTGCTTTTTATGATATTGCTTTTCCTAGATTTTTATTATTTCTTTTTCATGCTGTTTTGTTGTTAAGTACCCAGAGACTCATTCACAAATAACTAACTCCATTTGTATTAATAGGTGTTAAAATCAATGGAAATGACATCTACATAAAAATAGGACAATGATGGCAAACTTTTTCCGCACCAAGTGTCCAAACCAGAACACGAGTGTGCATAGGCGAGTGCGCCAGAGCACCAGAAATCCAAAGATCAGGTGGCCGGCGCACATATGCACGCCCCAGAAACCAAAAGAGCAGCTGTCGACAGCGCGTGTGCCCACAGAGAGGGGTCTGCGTGCCACCTCTGGCACACATGCCATAGATTCACCATCATGGTTATAGGATGATGTAAAATGGATCAGTTTGTTTCAAAATTGATGAATGATATAATTTTTGTCATTCAAGGTCAAATGACCAAAATAATTGCAAATGGCATACAATTAATGTACAGTTATATTTAACTGTCTTATCTGGAGTATTTCAGATGCCACAGACTTGTCTGTTATTTCAAGATATCCTTTGGTCTACTATATAGGAGTCCATAAACTGAAGTTTCACTGTATTGCTATAGTTTTATATTTTGGCCACTGTTAATATGTTTTGCATTTCTTTTGTTATTACAAATGCTTTAGATTTTTATTTGTTCTTATTTTGCAAGCCACTATGAAACCATCCAGATAAAAGGTGAAATAAAAGCATTTTAATCAGTATTGGGTCCTTCACATACTACTGAACTACAAGTCCCAGGATTCCCTACTGTTCCCAGCTATTAAATACTGTAGTTCAGCAATATCTTGTCTTTTTCAAAAATCAAGTATCTAAAAGCATGGTTCATCCAACATGCAAAATTAGGCTAAAATGAACTTGGATAATTTGTTTAGGGAATCCAAACATTATCCTAGCATATTGTAGGAAACATATATTACATTAAGCATAATATAGTTTGTTTGGACATAACATGTTAAGTGAAATATTAATTATATTTGTTAATCTATGCTTAATGGGTTGCAAGACTTCAGCGAGACAGAAGACAACCTATTTACTTTGTCTACCATGATTTTAAAAAAGCCTAATTACAGTCAAAGTGTCTAGACTTAATATTGAAGTGGATGGCTGGGAGAATCTGTTTTGGCTAGTGGAGACTTGAAGCATATCTTGTAGGTATGCAGTAATTCATTTAGATCATGTTTAGATAGGAAAATGGTTTATTGATTGATTGACTGACTGACTGACTGATTGATTCTTGAGACTATGTAAATGTATTCTGAAGATCTCTTCCAGACTTTGATTTTCAGCACTTCTTCATAAAATAACACACTGACTTGATATTCAGACTCTCAAGGACTACAATTGTGATGGTAATCAAGGAAAAGAATCATAATAATTTTAATGATTCCTTGGAAAAAAGCTGGGACAATTAAAATTGTATGAAAACATTATCACTTTCCATGAGCAAAAAATGTTGGCGATAGAATAGCTATTCTACAAATTTACGTATCTTACAACTGGTAGAAGATTAATTTGGCTTTACCATTCAGCAACTTCTTTTTCAATTTTGGATTGTGGGGAATCCTACTTCTAGAATTTAGATTTAAATTGTTTTCCTTTTCTTAGCCCTATTCCATCATACCTTCCATTTTCTCAATTTAACTTGATAGCTTGGCAAATTAATAGTCTCTTCCATCAATTGTTGATATCGTTGGCAGGTTCTGGTTGGTGGTTTTAAAAGCTGGGAACAGAAGTAGGGAATATAGAGAATTAGATAATTTGTTCCAGGCTGAAGCTATTGGGTTCACTGTTAAAGAAATCAGGTGCTTTGACTAAATACAGGTAATCCTCGACTTACGACCATAATTGAGGCCCGATTTTGTATTGTTAAGTGAGACAATTGTTAAGTGAGTTTTGCCCCTTTTTATGGCCTTTCTTGCCACGGTTGTTAAGTGAATCACCACAGTTATTAAGTTAGTAAGCCCGTTGTTAAGTGAATCTGGCTTCCTCATTGACTTTGCTTGTCAGAAGGTCACAAAAGGTGATCATATGATCTTGGGACATAGCAACAGTCATAAGTATAAACTAGTTGCTAAGCGTCTGAATTTTGATCACATGATCATGTGATGATGCAAATGTCGTAATTGTGAAAAAGGGTCATAAATCACATTTTTCATTGCTGTTGTAAATTTGAAAGGTCACTAAACAAACTGTTATAAGTCGAGGACTACCTGTACTACTAAATCTTTCGCAGGTTCATCAGTCCAGTTCATATTTTATTTCCAATACAAAGATTTGAATGGCAGATTTGCAATTGCCAAAATCAAATACTTGCTTTGTACCAGTTTTAAAACCTTATTAAGGTTTTACTGTTGTAGTAATTTTGTGCTAGCATGTGATTCAAAAGCTATTAAAAAAACCACACAGAGCTGAAGATAAATTAAGTAGACTTAAGAGACAAGGTGAGTCTTCCCAAGTTCTATGGAGCAGAATAAATACCTAGCAAAGAGTACTGGAATCATACAAAAATGCCCTTATGGTAGGATAGCAAAGAAAACGTAGTAAAATAGCAAGAGGAGAAGTAAGGATGAGATCACCTACAACATTGTTAAAGATGGATTTAGTGATATAATTTCTCCTAGTTTTCCACTACAAAAAAAACTTTTAAGAAATACGTAGCTGAAAACTTTGTTCCCATACATTTATAATTTACCTTCATAATCTGCAAGACTTCCAGGGAAGCATATACAATAAAAAATAAACAAAATTATAATATTAAAGCTAAGATTACCATATTTCAGCATTCTAAAATAAACCTCTGAAGAATTTTTTTTTTCATGTGATGCAAACTGCATATATTTATTTGTTCTTTTTATTGTTAGTCTTCTATTTAGTGTGCATTCTGTTTTTCTTCAAACCCTAAAGTGAACACATCATTAGTAACTGGGTCTAAAATTATTTTTTAGCCAGCAAGCACTGGCTAACAAAGCCAAAAATGTGGAATACCATATGTGCAAATAATAAATGAAAGCTTACTAGTGCAAAAGATGGTCTTATTTTATTTTTCATTCTTTTACTCCTGAGCAATACATGCAAAGGAAGTGGTGTGTATATGTATGAATCAAGGTGTTACACAATCAGGCAATCAAAACCCCACATCTTTTTATGTATGTTGCATATGCAGGAGTTTGATGACTTGGCTTTTTTGATTCTCTGCAGATATTCCTGAATCCAAATGAGAAAGCTAACAGGTTGTGCCTCTATTGAAGCAGGTTTTCCCTAAATTCTAATTAAAATATATGTTGGAATACTGACTGAGAGCTCGCTGCCACAGAAGCAGTGTATGAGAATCAAATCTCTCTGTGATCAGCATTTCTTTCATTATTATTATTATTTTTTTTAAAAAACTTTATTGCAATGCTATAACTCTCTTTTATGTTAAGCCAATGTTTGCTTCCAGGTGGAACTAAATTTCTACAAAACTCTGTTTTTGACTCTTGTAGAAAAATAATGACCCCTGGATACTTTAGGGCCAAGAAAAAAAAAGAACACACATAATGCACAGTTTATCCTCATCCAGTTTATTTATTTATGGTTAGATTTATGTCCTGTCGTTCACATAGAAGACACAAGCAGCATATAAAAAATAGTGCTTTATCCTCATCCTCCTGTTTTTCTCCAAAAGAAAATTCTTCTGAAGAAGGTCAGGATAAGAGAGATTGACTGTCCCAAAGTTACTACCAGGGCATATTCTAAAATAATATATTCTTTCCATAGGTGGCGCTGACCAGATTCACCTCAACTGTCAAAAGTATACTGAAAATGTTTGCAGGTAGTCCTCAACTTAAAACTCTTGGTTTAATGGTCATTCAAAATTACAACAACACTGAAAAAGTGACTTATGACCAGTTCTCACACTTATGACCATTGCAGCATCCCCACACTCACATGATCAAACTTCTGATGCTTGGCAACTGGCATATATTTACGGTGGTTGCAGTGTCCTGGGGTCCTTGGATTATCGTTTGCAATCTTCCTAGGGAGCTTTTGACAAGCAAGGTCAATGAGGGAAACCAGATTCCCTTAATGAATGCAAGATTCACTCAGTGAATCTTGCAGTGAACAACCTCAGTGAACCGCTTAACAATCATGGCAAAAAAAAGGCCATAAAATGGGGCATGACTCACTGCCTTGCTTAACAGTGGAAATTTGGAGTTCAACCAGGGGTGAAATCCAGCAGGTTCTGACAGGTTCTGGAGAACCGGTAGAGGAAATTTTGAGTAGTTCGGAGAAATGGCAAATACCACCTCTGGCTGGCCCCAGAGAGGGGTGGGAATGGAGATTTTGCAGTATCCTTCCCCCAGGAGTGGGGAGGGAATTGGGATTTTGCAGTATCCTTCCCCTGCCACGCTCACTAAACCACACCCACAGAACTGGTAGGAAAAAAATTTGGATTTCACCACTGAGTTCAACTGTAGTCATAAGTTGAGTATTTTATTTCTAGGGAACTTTTCAGTTAGGAATTAGTACTCAAGGCTGTTATCCATTCACCAAAGTTTTGGATACATATCTTGTAATCCATATTATAATTATTTTTTAAACAATCATACCACAAATTTATGAAGTTACATATTTATACTTTTTGTTGTTGTAAATTCCTTTTCTACTGCCCCACATGTCATTTCACTGAACTGTTCCTTGCAATGTATCACGAGCAGCCATATAAACAAAGAGAATGACATTTAATGGACCACATACAGGTTGTGTTCACTTACTTTGTCATACTTAGTAGGCACGGTGTGGATGGGAACAGGTTTCCAAGGAATCTCTGGATGTGAATTTGGATAGAGTCCCATCAGATTGGCTTGGGCACTCATGATGGTGCGGTCATAGTCAGTGCTGCGGACGTAGATCTGAAACAGTGGATAACCATGCAGTGAGTTATCTATATTAGCCACAACAATGACCAAAACATTGACATTATACATGTTAGTGTAGCCTTTCTTGGGGAACACAATTTCTTCCTCCACAGAACTAGGGAGATGGTAGGACCAAGCTTGCCTTCAATTTATAACCACAATTGGGACCGAAAATTTCATGGCTAAGTGATGAAGTCATTAAGTAAGTTATGCCAGATTTTTAGGACCTTTTTTGCTGTGAATCACCACAGTTGTTAAGTAAATCACATGAATCTGGCTTTCCCCATTGATTTCATTTGTTGGAAGCCCCCTGGGAAGGTCATGAAGGTGAATGCATGACCCTGGGATGCTGCAACTTTCATAAGTATATACTTGATGACAAGCACCCAAATTTTGATCAAGGAACCACAGGGACACAGGGACAATGTGAATGCACAAATGCACTCACAGTAAATGCGAGAATTGGTCATAAGTCCATTTTTCCAGCCCTGTTGTAACTTTGAATAGTCGTTAAATGAATGGTTGTAAGTCAAGGACTACCTGTATTTGTGCCTTAATTGAAGAAATGACTATTACTGGTTTATTATAACGGCAGTCACCGTAGGATATTAGCAGTATTCACGTTTGATATTAGTTAAATTCTTTGGTACAGAAGCTCAAGGCAGCGTGCATCACTAGTGCTCTCTCCTATTTCTTCCTTCAATAACCCTGTGAAGTTGGTTGGGCTGACTGAGAGTGCCTGGCCCCAAATCGTCCATTTATCTTCCATGTCTGAATGGAGTGAACTACAAACAGAGTTTTCCCCATGTTAGTCCGACTTCTTAACCACTATAGGCAGTTCTTGACTTATCATCGGTCACTAAGAGGCTGTCCAAAGTTACAACAGACCCACCAAAATCTATTTACAACTCTGTTCCAAAGTACCGATGGACAGTCCGCCCCTCCATAGTCACATGATTGCATTTTGGGTGCTTTGCAACCAGCTGGCCGGACATGTGACTGCGATTAACTATGTTTTTGCTAGAAACCAGCATTTACTTCTGGTTTCCAGAAAAAAACAGCCGATAGTGTTCACTTAACAACCACCATGTTCACTTAACAACTACTGCAAAAATAGGTCATAAAATTGGCTTGGTTGTGTGATGACCTGCTTTACAACTGCCATGATTTATGACCATAATTGCCAGGCTCAATTACAGTCGTAAATGGAGGACTACCTGTACCCCACGCTATGTGTACATTGCATGCATTTAAAACTCCCCTCACTTGTATTACTTAATGGTACAGCATTTCTGAATACAAGCTAAGAACTATTAATAAGCCAATCTTCATTCTGCACTGATAAATGTAACTAAGCAAGGAAAGAGACCAATGCTGGCTACAGTATTTAGGTTTTATTTGAAAAGCAGAGGTAATGCAATCCCTTATAACCCATATGAATGTACTCATTCATATATATTGCTTACTCTCTTCCATTAATTTGACCCTAATCTACATATTTAATAGAGGATTTTCTGCAAATACCATATTTTGACATCCTGTGGCAACTTGATGGAGTAAGGGAGAAACAATTGGGAGATTTCCTATTTTTAGAATGACTTTTCGAGAAATGCTGGTCTTAGATTAAGATCTTTTGGTTTTGACAGATCTAGCCAAAGACACCCACCCACAAACTAAAAAGTCTGAGCAAGATTGTGGTTAGGGCTTGGATTCATTGGTTGCTGCTGTTTATTTTTAATTATTATTTTTCTTCCCCTGTTTACAGTTCCATTCAGTTTGTTTGCTGCCTCGGGAATTCAAAGGAGCTGAATTATGTTCACCAATGTATTATTAAAGAAAGATTACTTCTTGTGGTTTGTAGGAAGGGCTCAAAAATCCAGCGTATCTTTCCCGGAGGAATTTCCCCAGAGCCTTCTGTTGCAAAATGCCCACCTAAACAGGGAAAAAGCAAATATTAAAATATTAATAGGCTTGCTTTGGGGTTGCAGAGTAAGATATAAACCGAATAACAGCCTGAATATGTGCAAACTTGATTTCTTGGCTGACCTCTGGTCTGATACAAGACCTGGTGTTACTCTGCTTCTTGGATTTGTCTGCAAGGAACTTAAGCTTCTGAAGCATTTGTTTGTTATTCCTTAGCTTTTGCATTCCTGTATTGTGGTAAGATTTATAGCTGCCTTCAAGAACTTTTATCTAGCTCCTGCACAGGCAACTGCTGGCAACAGGATACTTTATAAGGTTACTTCCAGGAAATTACAGTATTACTATTATTATTATTTTGGTGGGTCAAAAAGTTGCCAAATGTTTAGACAGTATTCGGCATTTTTGTCCACTTATTGAGTCAAGGACCTGGGACAGGCAGATGTTATGTAGGACAGGCCTCAGCTGGCATCAAGCAAGGACTGTCATTTGATCCCTCTTCTGCATGCCGGCACAGGCTGCCATAACAATAATTAAAATTCAGCCCTGAACGTACCTCACTCAGCTGCTGGAAACCATGTGGCCAAGCTGCTGCTTTGTGGGGATCTGTAGGGTAAGTGCTAAGGGGAGATCGGTCACCATGGCGATAAACCTGAGAAAGGAAGAGGTGAAAGATTGGCAATTATAGACAACCAAGTAATTTTTCTTTAATTCTAAGGAGGGTTAACTACATAACTACCTTAAACAAGGATCAGTAAAGCACCATTACTCTGTTCATCCAACATCGGATGTCCAAATCAGTAAACTCGGTTATAGTTTAGGGTGAATGGGCTTATTTACACAACCTGCCAAGGCTAAAATCCCATAATATGCTGAACCACAAGTTATCCAGCCTAACATAGCAACTTGTGCAAACCCATCTAGCAGATAAAGGAGAATATTAGTAGCTCAGGGTTGAATTGAAGGGTCCTTGATACTCTCTGAGCTTGGTTCTTTTCTTGCAGACATTTCATTACCCAAATTAGGTAAAATCATCAGTGCTAGTAGGGAGTGGGGTTTGTCCTCAATTCTAGTTGGATTGCCCTGTCAATGTTGATGAAAGTGGTCTTGGTGATTCTTTGGTGGGCTGTTCACTGTTAGCTTGCTCGGTAATTCTTTGATTGGGGTATTGTTTTCTTCTTGATTATTGGTCTGATGTCAATCTTGTGGTTAATCTATGCTCATTTGGGTGTTGATTGCTGCAGGGGAGGTCCTTTTGTTCCGTTTTTGGCATGTTAATTGTCCCTTTTGCACAGTATGTAGATGTTTATGTCTATGTCTCTGTAATAATCTGCAAGTTCATCAGAATGGGCCTGATCACTCAACCCAATATAGCACAACCAACACAAGTCATACATCAACATTGCCATACATCAAAAACATCTCAGAAACCACCAACAGACTATTACAACCACATGGCATTGGTGTAGTACACAAACCAACTACAACTAAAACCTCCAAAACATCGTAAGTAAACCAAAAGACCCAGCAGCCCAGAAAAAAAAAAACAAGAGTTCATCTATAATATAATATGTAAAGACTGCAACAGCCACTATGTAAGACAAACAGGCAGAAGACTAGCCGAGCAAATCCATGAACATCAGCTAGCAGTCAGAAGACATGATGAAAACTCTTTAGTTTCACAACATATAGACCAGGACTGTCAAACTCGTGTCCTGCGGGCCAGATGCGTCAGGTGCTGGCCACGCTCACGCCCGGTTTAGCAAAGGGAAAAAAAGTCATGATACGTTACGCGACAACGCTGTGACGACGCAAGGTTGACACCCCTGATATAGACAGACTTAACCACGGTTTCAGCTGGGAAACCATGACATCCTACACCAAACCAAGTCCAAAAATGCTAGTGAATTCCTGGAAACCTGGGCATTCTGACAAATCAGCAATCTATAGACACATAGACATAAATAACATCTACATACTGTGCAAAAGGGACAGTTAACAATCCAAAAAGGAAACAGAAAAGACCAAAACACTTACCCAGCAGCAATCAACACCCAGATGAGCATAAATTAGAAATGGAGGACTATGATATCTGGGTTCATCTATAATGTTCAGAAATAAGATAATAAAGTACTTTGTGCCACAAGGCATGGACTTTAAAAAGAGGTAAGAACCCTCTTGACCCACAAATACAAAATAGTTCCTACTATAATTTATCTTTTTGTATTAAATCCATTTCTCTCTCTCATTTACACAGACACACAGAGACACATTCTCTCCCCCGCCCCTGGGCTTTCTTTTCCATATTTTCTTTTTTCTGAGGAAGATAGCTATAATACTGCTGATGATATAGATCATGGACACGATAGCATATTAGAACTTCTGTTGCTATAAAATCCATCCTGAAGTATATTTCAGTTGTCTCTATCACTTGCACAAGACTGATATTTTTGCTTTCTTTTTTTTCATGCAACTAGTTAGGACTAAGTGGAGACATGACAAAGTAATCATTATACAGCATTTTTGTTGAACTATTAATGTTGGATAGGCACTAACTAAACCCAATCAACATGGTGCCCTTTTACCAGATCAAACTCTATACAGTCCACAACTTAGGTCTCCATCTTTTTCGCCTGAGATCCAATTAACCCATCCCAAGAACCAAACAGATAGTTATTTCCAATCCCTGGCACAGGCTGCGCTAAAGAGAACATAAAAAAATAGAATCATAGGGCTGGAAAGAACTTCAGGGATCTTCTAATCTAACCTTTCAAATGTTTGTCCAGTCTATTTTTGAAAAAAAAACCCAGTGATAAGACCAGCCTTCTCTTCTAACAGGATGTTCTCTATAGCTGCTGCATTCCCCACTTTTGACTCCAGCCAGCTTTCTCTTTGGCTATCCTGACTGCAAGAAAATAATGGGTTTGAGCACTTAATGGGAGAAGGCTGATCGAAACCATTTTGTTTGGCCAGAGACCCTGGGATTCCTAGCTCTGCCATTGTCCCAGTCTGTGTACCAGCGTAATGAAGCGGAGTATTCTTCCTTGGGCAGCTGAGGGAAACAGCATCTCCAGGAGGAGAAGAATCCAAGCTGGGAACTTCATGGTCTTAAGCCCCTTGTAAAACACAGGAGAAGAGTGAGGGCTCCAATTATATAGCTCTAGCTTCAAGGAAACCATGTAATTATCTTGTTTTTCCTCCTTGCTGACAGATTATAACAGGTGCCCCACCACAAAGCATGTGGAGGTGAGGGGATTGTTCTATCTCAGTTATGGAGCTTTCCCCAATCATCTCACACTTGCTCATCATCTTTAAAATTATTTCTCTGTGGACAAGTGAGATGGGGGGGGGGGAGAGGATTATTCTCCACGATTACAAATCTCAGCCAAGACATTACGTTTTGCGTGCTCAAACTGCAGATAAAGGTCAAGACGTGTGGCGACTGGTAATTCTGCTTGTTTCAGGCTGAGCTCTTCCACCATTAGAAGTTGCATGACTGAGCCAAATTCAGAGGATGCATGTATGAAGATGCGCCATAGTGCCTGATGGAATCCTGCTAATTTCCCAGAAAATTTAGGCACAGATGCTTTTCAGAGGAAGGATTGAACTTTGGTCAAGGAATGACAAACTTGGTTGGCTGGTTGGTTGGTTGACTGGCTGGCTGGCTGGCTGACCGGTTAGTTGGTTGACTGGCTAGCTGGCGGGCGGGCGGGCTGGCTGGTTTGTATGTTCTGTTCTTGTCATGATTATATGACAGACAGAAATCCTGTGAGTAAACCTGCGTCTCTCCTCTACAACTATGGATACGAGGCAACAGTTCTCAGCTACTAATGAATCATTTACAGGTAGTCCTCAACTTATAACAGTTCACTTAGTGATTGTAAGAAGTTACAAAGGCCCTGAAAAAAGTGACTTTTAAGTTTTCACTGACTTAATAGGTCAGTAGAATGAATAAATGCAAGCAGTTGAAATTATCATAGCTAAATATTCCCTTAACATTTGATTCCAGGGTTATCTTGATTTCCAGTAGGTAAGATCAAATCTTTAAAGAGAGACGGTATGGAAAAATACAATTTAAATCTGCCTAATCCAGTTTCTAGATTCATTTTAAATCCAAACCTGTTACGGTCATGATAAACCTTACTTTTTTTTTTTCTATTCTTGAAACCAGATCCTGAAATAGCTATTGATTGGTTTCAGAGCAAAAGGCCAACAAATATTCTAACTGTCCAGCTCTCCATATGAATGGTCAGGGCATGAGTTTTCTGTACAGAATGATGAAAGTACAGATATTCCAAAATATCATGTTTACTTAAACCTTATACAAATGAGCTGACCAGTTGGAAATGTTCCACCAGACACAGAATTCCACTTTAAAAGTGGAACTTCAAAATATACATTAATCATACATTTTCACATTGATTTGGTTGAGAGATTTTAAAATGCTGGATTAATTTGCTCTTTTGATTCACATTAAAATAATAGCAAGGCAAGAGTGCTGGATTTAAAATAATTGCCTTCCTGCTATTTCTGAAACTCTAATCTGAGTGGCAAAGCCCTGCAAACTTTACTGTACAAGTGACAACATATCTTTGTGCAGAGTGGCCAGTAGGGCACTTAGAAGATAAGAGGATAAGTATTAGGCAGAGTAGTGGTTGGTATTATAATTGATGGGTAGCAAAACTTCTGGGAGAAACTGAACCACAATCCACTGTTAAAGATGCCAAGGGTCAAAGCAAATCTTGGACTTAAGTCTGGCAAACTAATCATGGGGATATTCAATAGGGATCTATCCACGTATATATAATGATACTCATCCATCATTAAAGTGCCACTGATGTCTACATAAGGCATCTCATATTTCTGTACAGTAGTTCTTGACTTATGACCACAATTCAGCCCAAAATTTATGTTACTAAGTGACACGTTAAGCGAACTTTGCTCCACTTTACAACCTTTCATGCCGCAGTTGTTAACCGAATCATTGCTGTTGTAAAGTTACTAACAGGGTTGTTAAGTGAATTTCAAGCTTCCCCATTGCTTGTCAGAAGGTCGCAAATGGAAATCACATGACTCTGGGACACTGTAAGCGTCATAAATATGAGCCACTTGCCAAGTGTCCGAATTTTGATCACGTGACCATGGAGATGCTGCAACCGTCGTAAGTGTGAAAACCAGTTAGTGCCATTGTGACTTCGAACGGTCACGAAATGAACGATCATAAGTCAAGGACTGTCTGTGCAGTGACTCAACATGACTACTGCCCAAGAGTTCAATGATCTAATGGAGCAAATGTTTGTATATCGGAGAGTGGCTGCTAGTATCAGGAAAGTGAAGCTGTTTTTTATTTAGATGACCTGTTCTGGCCAGGTCTCTTTCAGTCTCCAGCTTACTCTCCAAACAGCTTTTGCCCTCAGAACTAAAAACTAACTGGCAACAATTTAGAGGCCAGCCATGGGAGCACTTGGAGTTTTTATTGTCACCTTCCTTTTCCTTGGAGTAACAGGTGGGTACAAATACTTCAACTGCAGCTGGTGCTGTGGTCAGGTAAAGAGAGATGATTGTGTCAGATAGGAGTTGTTGATGGACGTAGTTGATAGCTCTTGGAATAGTCCCTTGAAGCCAGAGATTGACAAATTTTCCATGATTAGCATCACTAATTTTTTTAGGGCAAACTAAGGTCCCCAAATAGTGGACAAAGTATCATATCTAAGATTAGGGGGAGGTTTTGAGAGCGACGTGACTTTGGACAATGTGGCTCTTTTAGAGTTAATGTTATACTTCTCATGAAAATGAAATGCCAGGAAATTGTGCAGTCTGCGTTCATCCTTCAGCAATCATGATCAGAGTTGTGATCAGAGTTCTGGTGACCACATATGTGGAACATAACAGCAGCCTGGGGTCACAGTCCATCCACCCTTAAAAAAAATCCTTAATCAAACCAACATGAAAATTATTGTAGTCTACTAATTAAGAATGTTCAGGAATCAATAAGACAGAGATTTAAATCTCCATTAAACCAGGAATATCCCTTATGATCAAAATGAGACAAAAACATATGCAGAAAGGTTGCAGGAATTGGGAATGGCCAGTCTAGAGAAAAGGACTAAGGGTGACGTGATAATAGTATTCCAGAATTTGAGGGGCTGCCACAAAGAAGAGAGAGTCAACCTGTTTTCCAAAGTACCAGAAGGCAAGACAAGAAAAAAACTGATGGAAATTAATTAAGGAGAGAAGCAACCTAGAATTAAGGAGAAGCTTCCTAGGTGAAAACAATTAACCAGTGGAACAGATTGTTTTCAGAAGTTGTGGGTGCTCCAAAGTCCCTTTCAGCTCTATTGATTATCTCTATGACAATTGCCATGCTGATTATGTCTGATGGAAGAATAGAATAGAATAGAATAGAATAGAATAGAATAGAATAGAATAGAATAGAATAGAATTCAATTCTTTATTGGCCAGATGTGATTGCACACACAAGGAATTTGTCTTGGTGCATATGCTGGAGTACAACAGCTGGAAAACCATCGTTACCCCATCTTTATTAGACTAAAACAACATGTGTATTTAAGAATATGTAACAAATACTTTCTTGGCATATAAACCGTGCTGCAATGATTTAAAGCTTTGGTCTGGATTTAATGGTTTTATGCATTTGAATGAGGATAAATATAGTTACTGAACTGGCAATCTAGTAGCTCCTAAAATTAATGGTTTTGTCTTATGCTAAGATTAATCGGAGTTATAATTTAAAAAAAAAATCAGCAGACCATTTGGTTATCTAGCCATCAGCCAACCTTGGCTAAGTATTTACAAATATTTATATAATTTATAGGCACAGTGATAGAGACATAGAGAGCCTTTAAATTTCTTTTTCTCCTCTTTGATACATGCATTTACACAACTGATATGCATATGGTTACATACATATATATTAGCACAGTCCTGGCCTTAGAAAATTCTGTTCAAAATTGCATTGATATTTTTGATAATATTTCACTATTTTCCTTTTCTACAGTGTCAGGCGACTTTTTTGATCTTTCTGACGCTCTTTCTCAAGATACCACAACAGCTTCCCCAAGAAAGCCAGAAAATCAGGGTAAGTGAAAAATAAAAATAAAAATTTGGATTCTATAAATTTTATAATTTATCTTTAAATGGGAAAGCTCTTAGATTCACTGAAAATAAGTAATGAGATTTATTTTCTTTTTTTCTATTAATGTTTGGAGATTTTTTTAAATCTAGCATTTTAGAAATTTCAGTTTTTGTTTTTGTTAACTAGTTAGACTTTTCTGGACAAGCTTGGATATAAGTCATATATGGTGAATTGTCAACCATAATTTCTAGCTGTATATTGATTAGAAATGAAGTGGGTTCAGTGTTAGCGCAAATGGGTAAAATCAGGTTCTATCTACCATGCTTTGAAAGCAGAATAAAGTCATGAAAATGGCATTCTCTATGTACTCAAATACAGTTCTTTATTGTTCATTTATGTATATCAGGAGTATCTTGGAAAGAGATTTTTTTTGAGGATGAGAAAGAATGTTTCCAGCATTTTTTCCCCTGGCAAGATGACAGTACCTTTATCCTGTGACTTTTTCCTCACAATAGTCTATAATACCAAGATGAAAAAAATTGAATTTTTGTTTGTTAGGAAGCTATTAAAATATTCAGGATGTTGTGTAGAAATGCATAGTATATAGGGGCTAAAATAGCATATTGTTATGTAGAAATGTATAGCGCACAGGGGAGAATAGAGGGGTGGTAAAGTATGATATAATATAATGTGGACGGATTTCACCTTGGGGAAGTCATGGGAAGAGGGGAGGGTTAGGGGGGGTTAGGGAGGGATGGGGGGGGGAAATGGGGAAAAATTGGTTTTTGTAAAACTTTTTCAATATATATATATATATATATATATTCAGGAGGCCCTCAGCTGGACATTGGTTGTGATACGTTCAGAACAGTAGAGGACAGCTTTGACTTTGAAATGAGAGATTTTCCTTTGTTCCTTTCTTTCCAGAGTGTCCAAATGTTGCCCGAGACATTGTGTTATTGATTGATGGGTCTAGCAGCGTTCGATATGCAGAATTTCATGCACAGA